TCCATCCATATCCATGCATGCATGCTGACCCAATTAATTGGCGCGCTGCAGCCTGCCTCCAGGGAGTTGGTTCGTTCGATCTTGACCGTAGGCTTCAATGTGGCATGCATGGGAAGACCGGACCGGAGAAGAGGATACAATATTTGCTGTGCCTGCTTCATGCATCGGCACCACTGGACAAAACTCATGCCAGATGCCACGCCAGCTTTGCTCGCGAGGGAGGGACGCACACCACGTGACATTATATAACGGCGTTTGAATTGAATTGAAATTGCGCCCATGACCGGCTCCTCTTCTGTTCTTACCTGGGGTCCCAGCGCCACTGCTACTGCCAGCCACAGCAACTCACCACACGCCAAGCTGACGTACTATATGCCGATCGTGCTCTGTCTCCACGTACTCCCTGACGCTGAGAGAGCAACTCCTACTAGCTGATGTCTTTCGGAAAAAAAAACCTCCAACATGCCGATCAAAACTATCCGTGAATGTCCGTTTGGGTCGAAGCGGAGAAATAAGTCGGCCCAATGCGGTGTCACAAACGGCAGAGTGCCATTTTTTGCCCACGTGACCCATTTCAGGCCCAAATTTGAGCCGGGCTTAGGTCGTCGCGGACGCGTGCGCGATGCCCGCCCTACTCCTCCACCAGGACCACCAGTCGGTTGCACATCCACCCCATTTCCCTCTCTTTCCAAAAAAACTGCCCACTCGCTCTCCCGGCCGCTCGCCATGGGCAAAGCGCCGATCCTCCCCATCGCCGCCGGCCTCGCCTCCCTCGCTGTTCATGTGCACATCCATTCAATCCTGTCCATTCAGCTTGGTACATGACTGATCTCCTTTTTGTGCCATCCTTCATCGGTGAGTGAGGTAGTGAGCTAGGGCATGCAATGATTCGGCTCTTATTATGGTAGGGAAGCATGGTCATTTGGTGTAGCGGAGCATCACTATCTTACCTAGGCTTTTGGTGGTAACCACTTTGTTCATGGCCGATCGAGAAAACAATAATAGAGGCACCAAAGTGTGTGGGAAAGAAAGGCGTCTTTCAGGCGCTTGTGGCATGAGGAGAAAAGCCAGCAGCAAAAGCAAATCGACGGCTTTCTACACAGATTGATTCCCTCTGTTGGCCATTTTGCCTTGCCTTTTGTTTTACTTAAGCTCAATGCTCCAGGCTGCAGCAGCTTGTGCGTCAAGCACATGCCATGCCACTCACTCACAGTGCTGGTGCATCAGTGGTATATCGGAATTTTCTAATTAGGTACCAAGTGGGTTTTAAATGAGCTTATTAGCCCCAATCTTGAACTTATGAGACCAAAGTTCCTCGATCCGTAAAATGGAGAGGATCCTGTAGTTGTATAGGCAGTCAGCCGTAGAGTGAAAAATATTTCACTTCACTGCTTGCTGCAGTGCTTTGCGCCGTTCCAAGCTGATTGTGTTTCCACCATGTGGACCCGAGGCACTGAGCCGGCCCTCACCCAGTGCAGCGGGTGTGGGGGGGCCTGTCATGTGGGCCCTTGCTTCGTCAGAACCATAGAGGACCACACGTACTGCACGTAAATGAATCTTGTAGTGTTCTGTTTACTAGCAAGTTCTTGTTTTTAATCTTGTAGTAATAGCTGCTGTTGGTGTTACTGCCTGACGCGCCTCTGATTGGGACTGATGCGAAAAGACATCCCCGGCGATGTTGTCTGCCGCGGTGACAGTAAAATATTTAGCAGCAGAGTGATTAGCGTACGGATGGAGTCCCGCCCTATGATATTGTTCTGTACGAACATTGACCCATTTCCCAGCATTTTCACGAGCCGACGTACCTACCTCATGCGTGATGTTGTCGTAGTTTTTTTTTCAGGCTTTCGAAATTGTTGATACACAGATTAAGCAGTTTTTGTAGACTCTGTATAGGATGGTCGTACACTCGTACTGCATGTTTGTCCCCTACAACTACAGGCTACAGATCGTAGTGCTAATGCTAAACAGTGCTTGTTAACAGACTTAACAGGGGTTTGAGCGTGTTTGGACGCTGGTCATGATGGAAGACGCAGTTGAACAATTAGTAGCTTATAGTTTAGTAGTACCGTTGATAGTACAGTACAAAAAGGTTAAGCACTTAAGCAACGTCTGTACTCTCCTTGTAGGCTTGTACTCCATCCGTTTCAAATTACTCGTCGCTTAGATGGATGTATCTAGAACTAAAAATACATCTAGATAAATCCATACGTACGACAAGTAATTTGGAACGGAGGGAGTAGCCTCCTTTTGCTAGTGGTTTCTGTACAAAATAATCAGGCAACGGTGCAAGATTTGTACCCTGCCCTGTTTGTACAGTAGGCTCCTTGGCTAAAGCTCCCGTACCGTACAGGTACAGTAATAAGCACCGGCTAATCACTTTTTACAAGGGAGCTTTTCAGACGAGGCCATGTCGCTAATCACACGGTGCATGCATGCATGCGTGCGTCCGACCGCCCGCACACCGGCCGGATCCAATGCCACACCACCGCTTCTCTTCTCACACGGGTGCGCGCGGCCGCTCCCTCGCACGCACCGAAAGGGCAAAGGCGGGTGGGTCCAAGCGGTCACGGTCCCACCGGTCGGCGAGATTGCGCGCGCGCGGCGGCAGCTCGCACGTGGCCGCGGGTGCGGGGTGAGCGGGACGGGACGTGACGCGTCACGGGGCCCGAGGTGGGTAGCGGCCGGGCGCCCGATCCTCATCCAGTCATCCTGGTGGTGGTGAAGGAAATTACCAACCGCACACGTTCAAAAAAAAAAAAGAAAACCGCACGCACACACGCACGCGCTGGCCACCGGGCCGGAGCGCAAGAAGAAGATTTGATTTGGGTTCGGCACGCGCACGTCCGAGGCGTGAGCGGCGGCCATAATCCTATCTTATACCCTTAAAAACAAAACAAAGAGCATGTCCGGTATTATAATCCCAGCTTCGAGTTTGGTTCACTGTACCTTCACTAAACTTTGACTGCCTATGGAGCACGTGCCGAGAGATCCAATCTTTTCCGTTCTTTTACCAAGTTCGAGGGCGCGCCAAAGTTTTGTAGCGGAGGACGTAGTTTGCAGTAAAAAAGGAAATGTATTATCTCCCTTTCGGTTTGTTTCTTGGACATGTAGGCAAAGTCTCGGTTACTAGCATATCGAGTATTCGGCCGGGAAAACCGAAAAACCACAGAATGTCGATGTGATCTTTGTGATACAACATACTCCCTCTGTTTTTTTTATTAATTCTGCACATAAACTTTAACCTAAGTCAAATTTTATAAATTCTGACTAAGTTTACTGACTTTATAGTTCTAAAGCACCTGACATCAAACCTCATCACATGACGAGAAACCATAACGTCATCGCCCCAATGACACAACGAGAATTTACGCCGGAGCTTTGCTGACTACGTCCAAATGGTCAAACTCGAGGAGGTCGGCGCCCGAAAGAAAAACTCGAAGAAGAAAAACGTCACCATTCACCCGAGCGCCACACCGTGAGTACTAAAAAGCCATAACCTAAACTCTAAACAAAGCGGAGGCACCAGAATTCTCCTTCTCTCCACCGACCGCCGGGCTGCATGCAGAGGGGAGGTGAATCCACAGACTCGCCGGTGAAGTTTGGAGGAAAAACTTTACTCTAGTCCCCTAGGGTTTGGGAAGGAAAGGTGGGAAAGTTTGTAAATTCTGATCGTGTACGTTTGCTCTTTGTATCGTTTGGTTAAACACATACCAGTATATTGTGTCCGGGCAAAACAGATGTTATATTTTCATCCGAAAATATAGGCTAGTACTGCTCATCAACACAACTTTTGTTCCCTCAAGTAAAAACACGACTTTTGTTGTTTTCGAAAATGTACTCATCAACATACAGAAATTGCTCATGGGACCCACATCCCGGTGGGCGCTGGCTCCGCCTGACGTCCGCCCGCCCGGAGCCCCGGAGCAGTTTACGATTCGTGTGCCGCAGGGGCATTTCCGTCCGGGCGCCCCGCGAAAAGCCAGGCCCGGAAAACGGCAAAAGCCGGACGGCCTCTTCGCAGAAAAGAAAACAAACACCGCACCGCACTAGTGCCAGCCGCGGCCTCGCTCCACTCCCCACTTGTTGCAAACCTCGCTACTCCCCAGTCCCCAGCCCAGACGGCGAGCCGCCCGAGAAGCGGAGAGCGTGCCACTGCCACCCCGCACCCCCCGCATTGTTTCAAAATCCGCAGGCCGGTCCCCGGAGGCGGCGCCGCGGTGGGTCGCCGGCGGGCAGGGGCGTCTCTGGTGCGGCAGGGGGAGGGGGTTCTTCCTTCTTGAAGTCCTTGCCGGAGCGCGGAGGCGGGCGAAATAGGGGCTGCGGAGGAGCGGTGGAGTTGTGAGAGAGAGAGGGAGAGGAAAGGAACCATGGCCGCTGCGCGCGTCGTCGCGTGCCTGCTGGCGGCGGTGATGTGCCTCTCGTGCGGGGCCGCGAGGTCGCCGGAGGCCCGGATGCACCGCCACCTCAAGCGCCTCAACAAGCCGGCCGTCAAGAGCATCGAGGTGCGTTTGTGCGCCCGCCCGCCGAGCTACCTAGATTCTTGCTGACTGACCCACTGCTATTCTTCTCAAGATTTGAATGGGGGATTTGTTTTTCCTTCCTTCCTTCCTTCCTGGTCAAAGCCGGTGTCCTGTGTCCGTTTCAATCTGCATTTTTGGGGGGATTTGGGCGAGATTGACTCAACGGGCGCACTTCTTGGCTACTCCAGTCCAGTCGCTCAAAGTTGCCACGCCCTGATTCAAAAGGGTGGCCTTTGCGGGGGCTTGTTTTTTTTCCCGGCGGATTGTTCTTGGGGCCGATTCGCTTTCTCGCTTTACGAATTTTGCAAAAGGCTAACCAAAAATTTCAATAAAAAGATGCCCACTACTTTGCGAGGAATTTCTTTCGTGCTCACTGCAAAATCTGAAGCTTCATCAGTGGATGCCAGCCAAAGTAGTACTGGTGTCCTTTTGCAATGCCATTCTTCATTTATTCCTGCTCAAAATTTCAGTCAGTGGATGCTAGCTAACTTTCGTTTGTTTGTTTGCAAATTAATCGAGCAGAGCCCCGACGGGGACATCATAGACTGCGTGCACATCTCGCACCAGCCGGCCTTCGACCACCCGTTCCTCAAGAACCACACCATCCAGGTACTAATACTGAGTTTGATTTCAGATGCATCAACAGCAGAGGGAGAAGATGCCACTGTTTTTGCTGAACATTTTTCTGTCCTTGCAGATGAGGCCGAGCTATCACCCGGAGGGCCTGTACGACGAGTCCAAGGCCAATGTGGCGTCCTCCGGCGACGGCGAGAGGCCGATGGTTCAGCTCTGGCACCGGAACGGCAGGTGCGCACCGGGCACCGTCCCGGTTCGGAGGACCAAGAAGGACGACTTGATGCGCGCGACCTCGATGCGGCGCTACGGCAGGAAGCACAAGCCCACGGTGGCGAACCCGATGTCGGTCGATCTCGCCATGCTCAACGAGGGCGGCCATCAAGTACGTGCACCAATTGCATCCGTCTATCTCACTTATGTTTTTGAGTGGCAGCAAGGAAGAAGAAATGCCACTGACTGCCTAGTGCTGTGTATGAATGTGCATGAACTCTGACTGTTGTGAATTTTTCAGCACGCGATATCGTACGTTCAGGGCGAGAAGTACTACGGCGCCAAGGCGACGATCAACGTGTGGGAGCCCAAGATCGAGCAGCCCAACGAGTTCAGCCTCTCCCAGCTGTGGATCTTGGGGGGCTCCTTCGGCGAGGACCTCAACAGCATCGAGGCTGGCTGGCAGGTACGTACCACCGATAAGATCAGCCAACCACATACAGCCCCATGAGCTTCATCACTGAGCTCTCGTAGCCCATATCTGTCTAGTTAATGCCACACCGTCGCTGCGGTTGATTGATGGATAGATAGCTCTGTTCCTACGGTTTCTAGCTAGCTCGGCGGTGTCACGGGCCCTGAACTTTTCTCTTTTCTGTTTGTTGATTCATCAGGTTAGCCCGGACCTCTATGGGGACAACAACACAAGACTGTTCACCTACTGGACTGTGAGTTTTTCTCCCTTCACACAACCGTGTGAAATGCTTCAAAATTAAGCCTGAAATTCTTTGTGACATGACATGTGCTTGTGTTGATCTTATTAACCTGTATATTTATGTTTTGTGTTGTGTAGAGTGATGCGTACCAGGCAACCGGGTGCTACAACATGCTGTGCTCAGGGTTCGTCCAGATCAACAACGAGGTGGCCATGGGGGCCAGCATCTTCCCCCTCTCGGGCTACTCCGGCTCGCAGTATGACATCAGTATACTCATCTGGAAGGTGAGTGAGCAAGCAGTTCATCTAGCAGTACTGTTTAAGAAGGGTTATTGTCACAAACATGAACGCCAGAGGAATTTCTGCCCACTTGCTGCTGTGCCCTTTACTCCTCTTGCTCCTTGACTGGACTCTGGGGCTCTGAAGATTATTCAGTACCCCTCAGCATGTGGCTATGTTACATGTTTTGTCAACAAACTTTTTTAGCCTTGATGATTACTCTAGTGGGTTTTGTCAATAGAAGCCTCATGAAGCATTGCTACCTTTCACCTCAGCAAGCGAGTGCCGAGATAGAAAGTCATGTGTTTTTCGTTCTATCACGCACGGGCAATGAGTGCATTCCATGGCCTGCTTAGTGCACCATGAGTGTCGGCATCTTCTTGACGCTAAACGGCTAACCCCTACTGAAGTCTAGTTATATGCCAAAGCTAATGATTCTGAATGCCGTAATGCTGTCTTCTAATTGGTTTACATGTATATAGGATCCGAAGGAGGGTCACTGGTGGATGCAGTTTGGCAAGGAGTACGTGCTGGGTTACTGGCCGTCGTTCCTGTTCTCGTACCTGGCGGACAGCGCGTCGATGATCGAGTGGGGCGGGGAGGTGGTGAACTCGCAGGCGGAGGGGGTGCACACGTCGACGCAGATGGGCAGCGGGCACTTCCCGGAGGAAGGGTTCGGCAAGGCGAGCTACTTCAAGAACATCCAGGTGGTGGACAGCACCAACAACCTCAAGGCGCCGCATGGAATGGGCACCTTCACGGAGCAGTCCAACTGCTACGACGTGCAGAACGGCAACAACGCCGACTGGGGCTCCTACTTCTACTACGGCGGCCCCGGCCGGAGCGCCAACTGCCAGTGACCTGAGACTGAAACCACCCACCCTAGTGAGTGAGTGAGTGAGTGAGAGCACCATTGGAAGTGTAGTGTGGTGCATCTGCATTATAAGTCAGTCTTGTTAGGCCTAGATGATGATAGGTGTCATGTGAATGGGTCCTGGTGTTGGCTCCTGATTTATTTTTGGGTTCTTTCTTCTTTCTTTTCCGTGTGTCAATCAAGCCTTCTGAAGAGAAGCATGGCATGTGGTGTGGTCTGGTGGTGCACCAGTTGTGTGATGGCCTACCAAGGGGTCCTTTTTCATACTGTGGTAGATTCATTCAGCTGTCCTTCGTGGCTATTATTGGGGGTTGTGTTCTTTCTCTCTTGGCCGGCTTGGCTTAACCAAAGGGGGTAGGGTTGGGTTCATGCATGCATAGCATGGGGAAGGCAACAATGGCTTCTTATGTTTCTCTTGGGCTTGGGAGGGACTCCTTTACTTTCTCTCCTTTGGATGCCACTATCTATGTATGGCGCATCGAAAGCAGCAAGGGGTTGTGTCCCGTTGAGAACTCTGGAACGCTGTGCATTCTTCATGCATGATGATGCCACCAAACCTAGTAATTATATGTTCAGTGTTACCCGAAAAGGGTTTCCCGCTTTGTATTACAAAGCACCAACACCGATACAAAGGAATGCTTGGGCAAGAAGCACAACAAGCCCAAAGAAAAGAAAAAAAGAACAAAGAAGAAGAAAGAGATGCCAACAACGGCAGCTCGACAAAGCGCGGATGACCAGCCACCGCTGCGCCCTCCGAAATTGACCCACCGCAGACCTAGGTTTCGACCCGCCGCATACCAAGCAGCACCTCCAGCAAGGGATGCGACGTCGACGAAGCTGCTGCCCGGACGTGTCCTAGGATTTCCCCCGACACGCGGAAGGAAGTGGGGGATGGATACATCCGACACCCTCCAAGAAGGGATGGTGGCAACCGCAGTCCGCAGGTGTTACCGCATCGGAGCCCAAACCCCACAGCCCAACCAGGCCGGAGCCAACCAGCCACCTCGCCGCCCACCAGCATGCGCCACCGCGGTCTTGACGCCGCCTCACCGAGATCACCACCACGAGGCCAAGAGGATGGAGAGAGACGCACGAGGCGACAGGGGCAACGGCACCGGAGCCACGCGCGAGGGAACTACCTCCACCGCCGTCATGCGGGAGGCCCGAGTCTCCGGCACCGTCGCGTTCGCCGTCCGGACGCAGCAGCAGGGCATACCAGGCCACCCCTGGCCCGGCCAGGCTCGATTTGGGCCCGTAAAGCCCCGTCGGCCGCGCTGCAGCAGGGAGGCACCAGTGCCACCAGCATCCACCCGCCCATTGCCGCTCCCTGCCTCCCGAAAGTCACACCGACGACCCTCCCCGCCGCCGGCCCGCCCAGACCTAGATGGGGCCCGAAGGGCCCAGATCTGGGCCGAGCGGGCGCCGTCAGATCGCATCGCCGCGCCGCCCCGCCGCCCAGAAGATCCCCCGCCACCACGCCAGAGAGCACGACCGCCGCGCCGGACCGCCGCCGCCTGGGAGCACCCCGCGGCGCCGCACCGCCCTGCGTCGGAGCGACCCGCGAGGGGAAAGGCCAGTGGCCGCCCGGGCCAGGCCCGACGCCGAATGCCAGCGACGGCGGCAAGGAGAGAGGGGAGGGGGAGGGCTCGGGGAGGAGGCGCGACCGGTCGCCTGCGGGGACGACGCAGTCGCGGGAGCGGGGAGGAGGGTACCCGAAGAGTTGTGTGCCACCTTCTCCTCGTTCACAGTGTTATTGACTGATTATCCTTGCATCAAGATGGCAAGGCAGCAAGAGCTGGTCCCTGAAGAAACGGGATATTATTATACGTACTTTGCAGGTGTAAGCACATGTCTTGAATATATTCATGGGTTGTGTGAAGTGGAGATGGAAGAAGAATGAGCAGTAGCCCATGCCTGCTGCCCCTGGAAGTTTTCCTTTTTTCGGGCGTGCTGCCCCTGGAAGTTGGCATGGGTTGTTTGCTTGTTTTCCAAAGCTCTTGCGTTCCTGCGCCCATGCTGCTTTGTTTGTCCGAGCTCGGCCCGGCCCGGGGCAGAGCGGCCATGCGCCCACGCACCGCCCGCAATCAAATGTGCATGTCTCCCTGTGCGTGTTAAGATGCTGGAAATCATGTGCTGCCGCCACGGATCCCGAGGCCAGTCCAGCCCAGTCAAAGTAGCATTGCATCCATTTGCGTATGTGGAATCGGGTGGAAGTTGGTGGGCGATCGATCGATGCGTTTGCTCGCTCGCTCGTCACGTTGCTCATCTTTTGCTGCGCAGTTCGTTGATCGGCCATTCAACTTGTGCTAGTACCTACCTACGGCCTCGCAAGAATGATTGGATTGATTTGGTTTGGTAGGGGTACGTGTATGGTACGGGCGGACAGTAATTCTGAGTCATGTATTGGTCGGTTCTCTCTTCTGACGCTCACAGAAAAAAGGCAGAGTGGATTGGAAGCCGATGGGGTCACTCACATCCACATCCAGTCATTCATTCATGCTCAGATTTCAGATGATGATGATGCGCTAGAGGGGGAGGCACGGGCTGGAGGCGCTCACGTGCCCAGCGGTATGCCTGTACCAGTGACCAGTGTACTACTACTACTGTCGTTGTGCTCCACCGACCCCTGAAAATGATGCGTGGTGTGGGCAAAGTACTAGAGCGTACGCCATCTTGAAAGCTTCTAGCTTCTCTCGCGGCATTGACACGTAGTATGTTTGTTGTGTCATAAATCGGCAAAAAATCACTCTTCTGAACCTTTGCTCCAAAGTTAAGCATGATTTTATCCCATTTTGACTTTTTTCTTTGGATCTGACCATTTTGCTGCGGTCATGGTACCGTCGTGCTCAATGGCAGTACGAACCAGGTCAACGTCCCCCATCATCACAACACTCACATACTTTGACAAGTGGCTACCGTCAGGGCCCACAGCTGTAGCCCCGTTATAGCCTACCGCCAGGCTCGATGGCTGTAGCTGCCTG